ACGCTTTATTTATTTTAGCCAAGTTTTTATTTTTTAAATATATACCTTTCAGAGCCCATAGCTTTGAGTTTGTTAAGTTTAGAGCAGAACTGAAACAAAGTGAATACACACAACACCCACCAATCTGAATTTCTGGAGATACTGAAAAGTCTCTGGAGATCCTGGACTCTACCTTGAGGACGTAGATTTTGATATCTATCTAAGATCCAGGACCTACCTTGAAAAATCCTTGAATTGTCACACAGTTATAGAAAATTCTCAAATGAGCTGTAACAGGTACTAAGAAGTTGATTCGTAAGTTTCATCATTTTACCAACTCCTCTCTTTTGAAGTGCACCTGTTCATAATCAGGGATTATTGTGGATTTCTATAGGTTTCATATAAGAGATTTGTATCCAACACTCAACAACATCACTTTCTAAGAGTTACAGGACATTTAGCTTCACTTTCCAATGAACAATTTCCTGTTCATTTATGAGATTCCCCTGTTACAAACCAGAGATGCGGCTGGGAGTTACTGTGACTTCAGCTAATAAATTCAATTTACATTTCCTGGTGGGAGTTCTACCCCAATCATGAGTCATTCTGAATCGCCAACATCCTGGACTAGAATTCATATTTCTCAATATTAACTGAAGAAGTAAGTTAGGTTTTATAGCTTAAAAATCAAAAGTCTCTTCTGGCTACAACTTCATCATGAACCACACAATTGCAATTATAAGCTTTTGCATTTAAAACTTCCACATCTCAAAAAGTTTTCTGTCCCAAATGCCCACCATAAAAATCAGTGTGATTTAACTTTTCTTTGAAACACTGGGTATATTGCTGAACATGTATCTGTTAACATAGAAAATAAAATCGCCTGTTATACTCACATGGCACGGTGCGGAGGTAGAGGTTGTCACGAATGATTTGCTGAAGTTCGTGGTCCACAGAACCCTTCTGAAATCGTAAGTTGAGGTAGTGACGAAGATCCTTATCAACAATTCCTCCTAGAATAATAGAGTTTCTTAATAAAGAATGTTGAAAAAATATTTTAAATTGTAATCTGATTCTGTTATAAATATACACATGAGCCTATTTAAAAGATGCATCATTTCACATTGCTCTTTTGACCTTCTAAGACATTTACTGCCATAATAATAATTTACTGAGATAATAATTGTCTACCAGGTGTGTGCTTGGTGTTTTACATGCATTCTTTAATTTATTTTTCATTTAGAATGAAGGCAGAATGTATGTAATACTCCTGAGCTAATACTGAAATGCCATAGTATAGCTTATTGAATAACCAACAAGATTTTTTTTTCTATTTCACATTTTCCCTTTTCTCTAGCCTCTGGCAAGCACTACACTATTTTTCTGTCTCTATGAATTTGACTGAAGGTATCTCATGTGAGTAGAATCATATATTTCCCTTTTGTGACTGGCTTATTTCACTTAAAAGTTTGACAAGATTTTTATTTAAAGTTACTATGGATTAAGATAAGTATGGTAATATAAAAAGTTAAAAGCTACACAAATATTAATGTTTTATTTCCTTTATAAAATCAAATTGATTTATCTGTCCTATAAAATGTGCAGCTGTTCATAACTAGAAATCAAGATTTTATTATAAGTATTATGTTATTATTACAGAAATAATTTTGAGTCTATTTGCTATTATAATCTAACATTTGCCATTATAATCTAATGAAAAATAAGTTGACTATAGGTAAGCAAGCTAATACTGTGGGTTTACCCAAGATTAATTTTTTTAATCCTCAACCAAGGATATGTTTATTGATTTTAAGAGAGAAGAAGGGAGAGAGAAACATTGATGTGAGAGGGAAACATCAATCAGTTGCCTCCCGTATATGAACCATCTGGGGATGGAACCCATCATCTAGGTACATGCACTGACCAGGAATTGATCCCACAACCTTTTGGGTGTAAGGGACAACTCTCCAACCAACTAAGCCATCTGCGTGAGGCCAAGATTAATTTAAAGATAAATATTTAAAGATAATTGTATGAAATTATGAAGATTCATCTAAGGCTCTTTTTATTCTTATACTTGAAAGTGAATTATAAATCAAAATATCTATAAAAATATAAGTAAGAATTATTAAAACCTTTAATTTTCAAATATATTTGGGTAGTTGAGTCAAGACAAAGAATTAATGATAGAAGAAACAGAAAATCCATAATAGTCACAAAATCATATTCTCTTCAAATCCTTTTGAATATTGAAATTACAGTTCATCAATCTATTTACACCACTATGACCACATAAAGGTAACATTAGGTGGATGTGCATATATGGATACAAATATTTTTTACTCAAATAGTAGTTAATATATTTGCAAAGTGCAACATTTCTGGAGTTTCCAAATCCATTGTTTTAGTTGCCTCTTAATCTGTTGGTACAGCCTCAGTAAGATGCCATAAGAAATACAATTTTTAACTAAATTCACTATCAAAATCCTTACTCTCCAAATAGTATTTCTCATATATTTCAGCAAATAGTCTTAATCTATTTTTTCCACAAAATATAACATAGTAGTGAAAAACAAGTTACACCAAAGGAAAACATATTGCTTATTGGGTGCATATAGATATTATATCCAGAATGCTTGCACCTAGAATTTTCCAAATTCAGTCAAGCAGCAGAGCAGTCAGAAATGGACGTCACTTAAAACTACCAGCACTCATATCAACAATTACCTAGTATTTACATCTTCAAATGCCCAGAAATAGTTGATAATTAGAAATCCTGAAATTCTGTTTTTCTCCTTTGATCTTTTCTGGCCAGCCGAACATGCTTATCCTTCCTAGTTCATTATAGCTACGGAGCATGATCATGCCTGACTGTTCTCTGCCAAGTTCTAAGTCTACAGGTCCTTCAGCAACTGCACTCTATCTTTCTTGCTGTCTAATATGTGGGACGTGCCAAGTGAAGAGATGCTTTCTGGTAGCCAAAGAATATGCTAATGATAGAACAACAGATGTAGTCTGTCCACCAAGGTAAAGAATCATTCACCTAATGAATGTAACATGGATAAGCTCACATGTGTAGTTCAGAATTATTGTTCCTGAAAATATGGATATTATCAGTTTAAAACCATTTCTGCTACTACAAATATACCACATTAGCTCTCTCAAGACTTATCATGTAAAAAACAAACGAACAAAAAACCCAAACAACCGAAAAGGCTGTCTATTCACTCAGCGACTTTAATATATTTTTGATTTTTTAATCTATTGATATGACTATGTCAATACCTTTATTCCCCTATGAAAGAACCATCTGCAGCTTATGAAACTGATATAGATTTTTTCATTAATTAAAATGAATTGTCACAAATTACTGAATTTGTTTTGGAAGGACTTATCCTGCCTCATAGTTCATAAATACTTTATCGTCCATCACAATTTATCACAGCATCTTACAAGTAAGTCCATTTTATTTACCCACTATCTTTATTATTGCAAATTCTGCTAGTTGCCTACCCAATATTCTTTCCTCTATTCTTTCTTATTGAGTACCATGATTTAATTTCATACTTAGCCCCAGGACATGGATCCCAGTGGTCGGAAACAGTTATACAATCTAGCTCCTCACTTTCCTAGCTGTCCTTACAGCTTCTGATAGCTATGTTCTGGCCATTGAGACCTAACCCAGAAAGAGGGGATTTTTTTATTCATTGAACTAGATTTGGTATCTGAGATATATTAGCCATATTCTGACCATGAAGTGACTTGCACAAGGAAAAATCCAACATAGGATATTGGAGGTAAAGTTAGAAACAGCCTGGGGTCCTTAATGGTTTCAATGAGCAGCTAAAATAATATCATCAAATATTTACCTTAATAAATCTTTTTATATGAGGTAAAAGTGTGTACTCATTTTTCTAAAACTATTATGAGTTTCTGTCATTTGCAACTATACATGATCCCAATAGATATATGTGTATATAAAAATGTTTTACATATGTATATACAATATGTATATACACATTTAAAAGAATGTTTTTTCTTATTGTAAACTTTATTTAGAGAAAAATTAAGCAACAGATAGTGGACAATGAGTGAGCTAAAAACAGAGTCTGAGTCTCAAGAATACCTGATTTCAGGTATATAAGTTAATATTTTAAAATAAGCTAAAAATAGAAGATTCTACATAGTATTCAATAAATGCTATCTATTATTAAATTAAATAAATTGCTACCTTATTTTCCATAGCTGTAATTTTTTATTTTCTTGTTATTGTTTGTCGGTAAAGTTTCTGTTTTTGTCATTTGTTATTGCTGCCTAAATCTCATAGGATGTCCACATGAATCCTTCCATCAAGCATAGCACTGTCCAGTCCAGTGTCCCTTAGCTGTGTACTCATCTCTTCAATAAAATTCAGTGGTTTTTACTTACTATTATTTTTAATAGTTATTGAATTATTTCACTTAATTGTGAAAAACTTAATTTTCTTTATTTTACAAAGTAAAACAATAGATTAAAAGATATAACACCTTCTGAAATCACTCATTTGTCGATAAGAGATCTGGGAAGGATTTGAACCCTATGATTCTGCTTCTGAAGAACATCACCCATTTGAGACGAAACTTCAGAGCCTAAAGCAGTCTTCTTTCTCAGCATGACCACAAACAAGCTTTCAACCTGACATCAAAGTATAACTTGAGAACCCTTAGGAGAGAAGTTAATTCAAATTCTTCATATTACAAATGAGGAAACTGAAACTCGCTCAAATTATTTGGCACTGGGTTCAAAGCAAAGATGGGGGGATTGTGAAAAGCATCAGGGAATCAACTCCGATGAATTATTTTGGGGAAAAAATCTACATATTACCACTTGAAAATGGTGTGCATCTCTGCACTTACAAGTTTTCTTAAATATCTGCAGTAGAACTGCTTTGTCCCCTCCACTACCTGAATGCTTAGATTGAGGAAGCAGAGACAAATGCTTCTTGGATCATATGAACAGAATCTCCTTGGTATATTCCTTAAGAAAAATTGCTAGTCTTAACCTTGTAGCTAAAGTGAGACAATCTTCCTAAGGTTGAGGGAGAAATATATCAGGCTCTATAATGTTTGTGCCAACGGTCTGATTGCTAGTAGCTGGCCGGAGAAATCCCATACCTCATTCATGGGCATGAACATTGGCTCAACTTTCCCCTCCAACAGCTTCTGGAATGACATGCATCTTATAAACTTAATGTCAACTGTGGAGAATAGTTCACTGATTGGGATGGTGGAGGGTGTGTAGAAAGGGAAAGGTGGAGATGATCAGCAAGCCAAAGTCTGGCTCATTCTGTCATTTATTCAGCCAAATTAGGCTACTCTAACATTCTATTGGCCTTATTTATTTTTTCTTGTCTTTACCTCATTTTTTTCTCTATTCATACACAACAAGCTGCTGAAGCAAGCATTTGATTTTTTGTTTGTTTGTGCTTTATCTTTTGTACCCATTTCTCTGCTTTATCTGTACTATCTTCTTTTGGTAACATCACTTTGATTTCCTTTTTCTAGTGTCTATATCTCGCTCATTCTGTATAAATATGGTCAGATATTTAGCCTATCTTCCCTGCCCTCACTTAGCCAATTAAAATAAAAATATTAAACTAGGTGGCTTAAAAAAACAAATATTAATTTCTGGTTTGCAGATAGCTATCTTCTCCTGTGTCCTCACATGTTTGGAAGAGAACTCATCTCGCTAGTGTTTCTGCATATAAGGGTACATATCCCATTCATGAGAGCTCCACTCTCATGAGCTAACTATTTCCCAAAGCCCACACCTCCTAGGATTTAAGCATATAGCTTTTGAAGGGGAAATAAGCAGTCCGTAAGAGTAGGTACAGATATAATAAGGCCTCCATTAGATATAAATTCCTTGTTTCCATATAAAGTACTTACCAAGTATATCTAATAGTTTGGGGATTTTTTTTTTTTTGTAATCAGACAACCAAATTATTTTATTAGTTAACTAGAGGCCCGGTACATGGATTCATGCACTGGTGGGGTCCCTTGGCCTGGCCTGAGCCCTATCACAATCTGGGACCCCTCGGGTAATGTCAGAAAGCGGGTTTTGGCCTGATCCCCGCAGGTCAGGTTGAGGGAACACCTGGTGCACAAATCCGTGCACTGG